TTTAAGTAGCAGAAGAGCTTCATTAACTGAACAAAGTCTGAGAAGCTGGTACGCGGAGGTACAATCACATATGGAAAGAGAAGGGTGTATGGACGAGGTGTTTGCAAATACACGGCGAGTGTTTAACTTGGATGAAACTGCTCTCTTTTTATGCCCAAAGGGAAGTAAAGTTATTGTAAAAAGAGGTCAAAAAATTGTCCATTCCTTTACTAACAATTAAAAAAAAAATGACAAAGAATGTTTAACCGCTCTACTGAGTGGAAATGCTGCTGGAATGGAAACACCTCTCATGATTGTTTTCTTCTATGAAAGAATTCCTCCTGCTATAGTTAATCAGATGCCTTATGGTTGGGGCATTGGAAAAATCGAAAGCGGATGGATGACTTCTCAAACCTTTTTTGAATATGTGGCAAACATATTTTATCCGTGGTTAATAGACAATGAGATCAATATTTGTGTAGTCTTGTTCGTTGATGGACATACTTCACACCTAACAATGGCGTTAGTCAGTTTTGCACGGAATATAAAATCATTTTGATTTCGCTCTTTCCCAATTCCATCCATTTGTGCCAACCAATGGACGTGGCTATCTTTCTTCCCTTAAAAACGGATGGAAAAAGGAGTGTTGAAATGGAAAATGACAAATAATGGATGCAAACTCAAACGAGAAAATTTTGGGCCTGTTTTAAATGATGTGATTAGAACCACTTGTCACAAACAAATGTTTATTAATGGTTTCCGAAAATGTGGTTTGTTTCCATTTCATGCTGACGCTTTTGATAGATAAATACATCCTAAAGAAAGCTTGGCACCAAAAGATTAAAAAAAACGACCAAGAAATCTTGCAGATGTTGGAGAATATTATTGATAACGACAAGTTGCAGGCTTTCAAATCCTGCCAAGGAGAGTGGTCAAGGGATATCAAAGATACTTCGTTATTTTATCTCTGGAACAAATTTCAGCGTTCTGATGAAGAAGAAGAAATGGTCTTAGACAACTGCGAACTATTAGATGACAACAATGGCTCAATCTCCATTGATGTAGATAATTCTGAGGTTTTTAACGTCAAAATAATTCGGTGACAGTCAATAAAGAGAAACTTACACAGAACGATGACGACTCTTCGTTAAAGCAAAGCAATAATGGCTCAAGGCAGACTGAAGAGCATATTTCAGAAGCCAGTAATAGTAAGGTAGACAGTGAGGAAAATAATACTAATCATTCTCAAGACAGCCCTGACAAAAATCTTGAGAACAAAATTCCATTTGATGTTTCATCTCCCTTTAGAAGAGTCTTATTTTGGCTTGATAAAGTTACACCTAATAAGAAAAAAGGTAGAAAAGAAATCGTTCTTTGCGTAGCAACTTCAAATTTGCGAAAAGAATATTACTATTATTCCAAAAAAGAGAATGAAAATTTGGAAAAGGAGAAAGCAAAAGAGGAAAGGAAAAGAAGACGGGAAGAGAATAAAAAAAACGAAACAGTCTGCCACTAAAAAGACTGTCAAACGGAGGAAACAATCCCCAATACATCAGAATGGTGAGGAATCAACTTCTGAATTACCACTTCAACCTTCGCCTCCTCAACCTTTTGACAAACAAAATCTGGAAATCAATTCTTACGTGATAATCCTTTACGAAGAATAATATTACCCTGTTATTATTGAAGCTGTAACTAAAGTAAACGTCTACGTCAACGTTATGACAAAATCAAAATTTGGTAACTGGAGATGGCCACAAACTCCTGATAAACTGTGGTATAATAAAGATACTGATATGATGCAAATAATTAATCCGCCCCAACGGATAAACAGTCGTGGTATTTTCAAAGTTCCTGAACTGGTTTCTTCATTAAATATTTTATTTTTTGTTAAGTCATTTTGTATTTTATTAAATTTTTTTGTTTTCTCAACTTTTTGATATTTATTTTAACATATTTTGTTTTTGATGTTTGTGTTCTTTGTTTTCTAATAGAAATTATTTTTATTTTAATAAAGTTTTTTTGAAAAAAAAGCGTGTTGAACTTATTGTCAGCTACTGGTACCCCTTTGTCAGGCGTCGGTACAAAATGCAACTAATAAATAAATTTTTTTGTTATTATATAAAACATTATAGAGGATAACATGAGTTAATTAAACAATGATTCAACAGGAAATTTAGTTTTTAAATGGTTAAATAATGCCCAACATAGTCTTAGAGCATAAGCCACTGGTACGTTTACCTTACGTGAATAATTTTTCTGAGATTTAATCCGATAAAAATATGCTATGTAATTAAAGATTATTTCACTTTTTGTACTAATCAATAAAAGCGTTTTCTAATATCTGCTACACAACAACTTTATATTCTACTATCACATATCACTAATGAATGAGTATAGAAAAATATTTTTAAAAAAAGACATAAAAAAGTAAAAATAGAACAAATAAAATATGTTGAGGACGATGACATGACAAGAAAGCAAATTATTAAAAGATAATGTAGCAGAATATTTACAGCCAAAAATGATAAAGAAAACAATATAAAAACCACAAATAGTCGGGAACTGATAAGCGCTAAGTAATGGAACAGTAACATGAGGATGAAAAACAACAATGGTTGGATAAATAACGTTGTCAACTTTAAAGGTTACTTGTTGTAATTTTTTTCATTTTCGGAAGCAATATCTTTTCAACGTTTAAATGGACACCCATATACGTATGTAGTAATTCATATTGAAGGAAGGCCTTTATACTTAGATATCTAATAAAAACATGTTCTTCACACAGGCAAAATAAACCGTAATTAGTTGGACAATGTTAAGATTTATTTTGAATTCAAATTCAAAGAAATATGAACAACAATATGTATACGATTTTTGTAAGTAATTTTAATCGATAGTCTGGATGTTTGTCAATGCTGTAAATATACATGTTAAATTTTTTTCTGAATCTTAGAAACGTACTTACCCAAATATAAATGTTTTAAAATCAAGAACTCGACTTTCCTCTCCTCTTTCTAATGCATATAGAGATTTCATATCATCTTCATCTAAGCAAAAATCAAAAACATTTATATTCTCTTCTATTCTTTTTGGTGTGACGCTTTTCGGAATTGCGGAAACACCTATCTGCAGAAGAAACCTCAAAGCAATTTGCGCTGACGTTTGGAATGATAAATCACAAGTACAAACTTATCATATTTTTTGCATTTTAGATAGGATTTATTCAGCAAAATTTAAGGGTGACGTCATCAATTTTTTTAGGAGGCATGAACAAATACATTTTGAACAAAAGCTTACCATGCTTATAATAACTTTACAATATCTCCAAGATTTCAAAGCATTCGGTTCTGTAATTCCTGATTAAATCAATAAAATAAATTGACGCATTCATTAATTTTTTTCAGTCACCCTGTATATGCAAATCGAAAAAATTTGAATGGAATGATAAATCACAAGAAGAGACTCACCATATTTTGTACATTTTAGATAGGATTTATTCAGCAAAATTTTGTGGTGACGTCATAAACTTTTTAGGGGGGACGACCAAATACATTTTGATCAAAAATTTACCATGCTTATGATAATTTTAAAACATCTTCAAGATTTTAAAGCATTCGGTTTTGTAATTCCTGAGTAAATCAATAAAATAAATTTTGCGCATTCATTAATTTTTTTGAGCCACCCGGTATATGCAAATCCAAAAAATATGAATGGAGTGATATATTACAAGTACAGACGCATCATATTTTGTACATTTTAGATAGGATTTATTCGGTAAACTTTTGAGCTGACGTCACCAAGTTTTTGGAGGGGATAACCAAATATATTTTGACTAAAGATTTATGATCCTCTTTAGAGCCTTAAAACATCTGCAACATTTCAAAACATTCGGGTTGGCAGATTCAAAATTAAATTGCAAAATGTTGTTTTATAATTTTGATTTTTTTTCCAAAAATCTGGACGTTTCGGGTAAAAACTGAATTCGGAGTCGTAAACTACATGTGTAGGACTATGTTATTTTATACAATTTAAGACCCATTTACTATGTACAATTTTGAAGTGACATCATCGCATTAGTGGTGGGGATGATTAGACAAATTTTGGTTAGCGTTTTACCATCTACATGATATTCCTAATAGAAGTACAAAATTTCACAACAATCGGTCCAGTACTTTCGGAGATTATCTGTCTAATAAAAATCCGGGACGGCAGACAGACGGACAGACGGACAGACGGACGGACAGACAGACGGAAATGGGAGACCTATTTCTTCGTCTTCTAGGAGTCATGAAAGATCGAGAAAACGTAAAAGTAGAGAGTCGGCCGACGGACTCGATTACAATACTTCCTTTGCTTACGCTCGGGAAGTAAAAATTGCAAATCTATGAAACAAATGGCTAAAAAAAATTACAGTGAGTTTTGCACATAAGTAGGTAAGTTTTCACCAAATTTTGTGAAAAAGAAAACAAAAACTTGGTTATTTGCATTTTTTGGGTAAATTTTGAGTTATGTAAAAAAAGTGTAAACACAAAAGTTGTAGATTTCTTTATTACCTACAACTTTGCTAAGTAAGTTTTTTCGATAGGACTTGTAGTTTTGCCGGAAATCGTGATAAACCGTTTTCTACCTTTAAAAGCTCACCCTCTTCAACTTTCCGACCTCAGATCGCCCGGAAATTATTTTTCCTTTTATTTTAGTTATATTTTCTTCCTTTTTCAATGGGTATTATCCTGTTCCGATTTTTTTTTCACTTTTTATCATTTTCAAAGGCTTCGATACTGGCCAGATTTTCTACGGGTATTCGTTCGATTATTGTTTATTAATAAGTTATACTCCTACGATAAAAAGTTGTATTTGTTTCAAAATAAAAGTTATAGAAGTTCTGAATCTTTTGATTATACTCTCTCACATTATGACTGCCATGAGAAAATGTTTGAATGAAAATTACAAAAGGTGTATATTTGGTTGCATAATTGATTTTTTAAAAAAAATTTCTAAATTTTAAAAACTTCCATCATCGAAAAAATATTGTAACTAACACGTAGTGTGATGGCGACTAACGATCTCGGCAGTGTTTAATTCCACTCGCTCCTTTCGGTCGCTCGTGAAATTACAATGACTCGATCGTTAATCGCTGTCATTACATAACTACTTAGTTGGTTAAATAACTATTACCGACTAGTGCAACAAATGAAATCATCTGTAGTTACGCAGCACATTCCTGTCAGATTAATTCTCGAAAAAAATGTGATTACATACACTTATATAAAAGCTGTCGTTTTCGAAAATCATTCATTAACAAATTCAGTATCACCGCTCCTCCCTTGCGTCGTTTTCTTTAGAATATTTATAAAATGGCTTCAAAAATTTCTTTCACTCTTCCAACTGGTCAAAAAATGCCGGCCCTTGGATACGGAACTTTCGAAGTAAGTCACAATATTTTTTAGTTCCAAAATTAACTATTACACTTAGACCAAAGACGAGCAAGAAGTTGAAGCAGCAATAAATGCAGCTTTAGAACAGGGATATCGTCACATCGACACGGCTTTCGTTTACGAAAATGAAAAACCTATTGGTAAAGTTATCAACCAGTGGATATCATCTGGCAAACTCAAGCGAGAGGACTTGTTTATCACCACTAAGTTGCCGATGGTAGGAGTTCACGTAGATCGAGTAGAAATGTTTATGAAGAAGTCTTTAGAAAATCTACAACTAGATTACGTCGACATGTACTTAATTCATTTTCCTGTGGGCTACAAGTATCATGAAGGAGGCCCTCACATGTTTCTTATAGAAAATGGAGCAGCTGTAACCGAACCGAAGACAGACCATGCTGCTATTTGGAAGGTACAATAAAAAAAAAGATCAAATATATTTATTTTATTTTTTTCCTATTTTAGAAAATGGAAGAACAGGTAGATGCAGGTCGCGCCAAAAGTATAGGTCTATCGAACTACAACATCTCTCAAATTACAACTGTTCTGCAATCAGCGAGAATAAAACCTGCTACCCTCCAAGTAGAAATGCACCTTTATTTACAGCAACGTAATTTGCGTGAATTTTGTAAGAAAAATGGTATCACAGTTGTCGCTTACAGTCCTTTGGCAAACCCAAATTTGAACAAATTTTTGGAAAAAATGGGTATCAAGTATGTAGCTAACTGTTTAGGTATTAACATAGTAACAGTGTTTTCTACAGATCTAAACAACTGCCGGATATACTAAATAATCCAGTAGTAGGAAAAATTGCCCAAAAACATAAAAAAACTGCCGCGCAAGTGGCTCTAAGATTTCTTTTGCAGATAGGTGTTGCTGCTATTCCCAAAAGTGTTACGCCCAAAAGAATCGAAGAAAATATAAGTATTTTTGATTTTAATTTAGATGGAAACGACATGAAGGCTTTGCATAATTTGGAAGTGGGAGAAGCTGCGCGCACCGTAGATTTTAAAGCTATTCCAGGGTAGGTATTCAAATGTGCTTTAAAGAAGTTCTAAAATGTGTTTATTGTTTTATCAGAGCGGAGAAACATCCAGATTATCCGTTGAAACAAAATGAATATTAATAAAGGTGTCTTCAACTTTCAGTGTTTTTTTAATAATTTCCTATTCCACAAGCAAAATACAGTCACTTGTTTGATGATAAACATACATGGAGGCAAATTATAAAGTTAAAAGCTCAAATAATATTATAACGTACCTATATATAATAACCGACAACCTATTTTCTATTAGGGTGTTGAATTTGAAAAAAGTAAATACTTATAATCAATAGCATGTTCTAAATACGTCTACTATAATAACTTAAATTTTGTCGTTTACGTTTTACATTAACGAAATTTAAATATTCACAACAAACGCACATTATTATTTTAATTAATTTTGGTATCTCTGGCATTTCATTTCTATATTTTGGGTTAAATTTCTGCCAAGCGGAGCTTTCTGCATGTAAATGAATATCAACTGAAATAATATTTAACACTAGGTTGAAAGGCAGTAAATTATTATCAAAGCTGATGCAACACAATGTTATAGAAAAAAAAATCGGTTGTCTGTAAAGTCGGTCTACTGACGATAGTTGAACGTGACAACGTCTTAAGAAAATACTGATGGAATGGTAGCATTTTTCAAAAGAAAATTTTAATTTCATTTGTTTAATAGATTTGTATGTATATAGAGAAGGAGGTAATTAGAAATCACAATGAAATTGATCAAGTTAGATTTATTTATACGCATAAATACAATTATGTCAATTTTTTTTACAATTTAATAGTTTTTACAAGTATAAATGTGCGTTGAGCAATTGTTTTACAACTGTTAAACATGTGTAATATTTAATTTCTTACAATCTGTGTTATTCTGTTGAGAATAGGACGATGATAGGAAAAGTAGGAAATGAAAGGGAGTGTTTCGAGTTTAATGTGTCTTGAAAAAGTCAAATCGATGGTGGTGCCTCCTAGTGTTGTTGAGTTATTAACGTCTGATGCACAATCGACATTAAACATGTCTTTCATGAATTTGATGAATGTTTCGTCATTTTTCACATTTGTGTTGAAGTCGCCACAAAGTAGAATTGGTATATCGGTATCAACTTCCATGATGGGATGTACATAGTGGCTGTTATAAAGATACGGAAGAAGGAGAGAGACGGATGGCGAACGCTGCCGAACGCGAAGGCCGATTGTGCCTCTTTGTCGCTCGTTCCGCGTTCTCGCTTGCACTTCAAGCCTTACATGGAACGCCTCAGAGCGAGGTAACGCCGCATGAGTCATGTTTTTTCGTGCGTGCAGCCGGCTCAATCGAATTATAAGACGTTGTCACGTCAAAATATATGAAACTTACATTATTGTGGAATATTGATTTTCGAATCTGAACATATTGAGGTTAAAACAAATAAACTTAATATTTGTAACATTTATAAAGCCAAGTTTAATTTATAATCGAAAAAAAATTACTCTAAATCGGAAATTAAAGTGCAGTTGAAAAAATGATTTATCTGTGTTTGTTTATCACTAATTTGCATTAGCAGCTTTGGGTGACGTTATGATATTTAGAAACAGTTTTGATCGCATAGTTTACAAATAATTTGTACTTTGAATGAGAAAGAAGAATCTGTTTTATACATATGTACCTAAATATTAAAAAAAGTTAACTCGAGTAGCTTTAAAAATTTTGTAAGCACAATAATCGATAATGTTACTAATGCCGAAAAGGTGCTTGAATATTGTAGGTTTATAGTGCACAAACAAATTTTATCAGTGTTAAAATGCATTTTGCACATTTGTCGATAATTGCGTTTTCTAGTATTTATTGCACAAGAACGTTTTAATGTCATCCACATCACTTTTATCAGCATTAAAAAATGCTTTAAAAAAAGATACAAAAGTGTAAAAATAGAACAAAGTAAATAATGTACTTAAAATATTTTGAGGAAAATGACATTGCAAATAGTAGATTATCAAAAAGCTAATGCAACAGAATGCGAAAAGTGTATGAGATAACAACATGAGGATCATAATTAATTATTAAGTAAGTTTTTAAGAAATATGTGATGATAAAAATTAAATAAGAATAAAGAAGAATAAATTCGTATTATGTAGGATGTGTTTTAATTTTGATAACAGTGTCTTTTCTTTATGATTAAATTTTTTCGTAATGTTGTCACTGTAAAAACAAAAAAAGCATTATACAGGTTGCTAATTAGAATTTAAAGTTTGTTCGAAAAAGATCAGTAAGTTAGTGTGATTTATTATTAACATAATCTAAAAATCAATGGAATTTACGTATATTTAATAACCAGTTGTTATAACGTTTTTGGAATAGAAAATGGACATGACACCATTTTTGAAGTTTTTTATCGAGTTACCAAAATAAAAAGGAAAAATAATCCATCAATTTCATTGAGGCAGATGTCGTACAAAGTTGGACTTTCCATGGGTATCTGCCATAAAATTGTGAAAAAAAAGCTCCACCTTTTTCGATACAAACTTCATGCCTATCACGAACTTTTGCCGGCTGATTTTAATAGACATAGTGCCTACTGCAGATGGTTTCTTGAACATCTTAGTGATGATAACTTGTTGGATTTAACATTCTTTTCTGATGAATTTGGTTTCATCTCCACGGTACTGAGTTTGTGTCAATTTGAATCACAATTATGAAATTTTGTTTTGCAAGTTATATACAAATATGAGATGTTGGAGTGCTGAAAGTCCACATGTCCTTCGTGAAACACCACTCCATCCTCTTGAAATTGGTAATGTCTAGCCGACATATCATTCGATCCAAATTCTTTGAGTAAACTGTAACAGCACAAAGATGTCGAAATAATGGGTAGTATTAATAAAAATAAGTAAATGCTTATAAGTAAATACTTGTAAGTATTAGCATTTGTTATAAGCATCAGGAAGTTCTAAAAGTAAATACTTATTTCCATATTAATAAAAAGATGCTAATACTTATAAGTAAATACTTATTTTGATAAGTTTATGCTTATCCACAAAATACATAAAATATCCAAGTCATCGTATTTCAAAAAATTATATTCTCGTTTGACTGCGCTGGGCACCTTAAAAAACCAAAAATGTCGACAAGTGACGAGTTTAGTGATGAGGAACGAATAGATGAATGCCACAAAAACAATGATTTAGTTTTTGTGGCAAAATTTGTTAAAAACAATCCTATTATTTTAAACAAGACGAAAACACCAGCGGTAACACACAAGAAGGAAAAAGCGCTTCTGTTATTAAAGAATGAAATAGAAGGTAAGTGAAAGATAGAAACTGAAATATAATCTGTTATCCGAGAATCTCTTGCAGCAAATTTTGGAAAGAAAACTGATGTCAAAAAAGTATTGAAACAAATCAATAATTTAAAGACAATTGTAAAAAAGAAAACAGACCAATCGGTTACAGGAAATAAAAAAGCAAGCTAAGCACCGCTGAAAAATTTATTTTTGAGGCTATGAACGCCGGTGAACCAAATCCCGTATTGGTAAAAGTGCCTGGTAGAGTGTTATCCTGTTCTGACGTAAATAAATTTATATGTGTATTTTTTTCTTATAGGAAAAGTTGAAATAGGTGCCAGTTGCACTAAACTGTTACAATCACCACCAGAAGAAGAAACAAAACCTCCAAAACCAAAAAAACAAAAATATTAGACAAATATGAGACGGAAGAAACTAAGAACTTAACTTCAGAATTGCAAAGACTCGTATTAGTAGAACATTTAGAACTTATTAGGCTTCAAAAAGCAAGACTAAGAGAAAATAGTTTAATTAATGTGTTTAGTGAAGAAATTTTGTAAAAAATGTTATTAATTTTTATTATCTTTAGTTTCATTTGCATTTGTTAATTCAATATTTTGAAACATTATTTCAGTTAATTCATTTCTTTTTCTTTGACCTTCACGTCGTTGAACTTCTTGTGCTGGATCATTATTATCTTCTTCATCTAGGTTATCATCGTCATTATCATTATCATTATTTTCTTCTTCCAGTACAGCTTCATCTTTAAGATATTTAGCTACGTTGTGGAGAACGAAACAGGCTGCAATAAATGATGGAATGGCAAGTAGACGCAATCGTATGATATTCTGGAGTGTAGGAAATCTTTGCTTTAATTGCCCAAAACATCTTTCTATTATAACCCGCTCACGTTTTAACAGATTATTAAAGGCCTCTTCCCTTGGTGTGGCTGGATTTCTGTAAGGAATCATCAGACATTTTTCTATACCGTATCCTTGGTCTCCCAATAGTACAGCATTATTAAAAGTTCTGAAGACCCGGCACACAGAACTGTTCCTCCAGATGCGACTGTCATGTACCGATCCTGGCCACTCAGCACTGACACTTGTAAAATATTCCTCCGCGTTACATGTTGCTTGCACATTAAGAGCAGGGAACTGTTTTCTGCAGATGTATTCATTGCCATGTCTATTTACATGAATTTTTTTAATTCTGATTAATGTACAGTCAATAGCTCCAATTGCTGTGGGAAAATTATATCTTCTTAACCATCGCTGTTTTTCTTCTTGTATGGCTTCATTGTCCTGCAATTCAGATAATTTTACCTGGGGAAACCGAATCCAAATGTGCGCTTTGTTCATAATCTTTTGGGTAACACACTTTATAGTATAGGAAACTGCAGGCTGGCTAACTCCTATATCTTCGGCGACTCCAGTCTGAAAACCTGGATCGGCTGCATACCGCAAAAAAATTTTCATTTTTGTAAATGAGTCCAGACTGCCGCCTCTTGTTTCATTGCTGGTTCCAAGAAAATGTTCTGCCATCCACATCACATTTTCACTTGTAAAACGATATTATCGAATAAAATCCCGTTCAGGAGGGTTCTGTCTACGTTGTTTATAAATTTGCGAGCACATTTCTCACAATTTTTTTTAAGTCTTTGCTGTCGTAAGTACATCAAATAGCATGCTTATAAATTTATAAGTAGATACTGAATTCTGTAAGTATCAGCTTGATTTTATTTATACAGTCTTAAGTAAATACTGATTTTGATAAAAAGTATGAGCATATACTTTTCTTATATAAGCATATACTTTTCAGCATCAGTTTTACTTATGTTTTATTAATACAAATGTAAGCATTTCCTTAAAAAACTGTCAGTATCAGTAAATACTTACTTTTATTAATACCACCCAATATCTTAACTGTTTTTGTTCAAGACGGATTTTTTCAATATGACGTTGCCATGCCATCTACAACAATAGGCAATTTGAATTTTTTACGTGAATTCTTGGATGGTAGGGTGATAAGTTGAATACATTCAGTTCCTAAATACTCCCCAAGGTTACCAGATTTAACCCTTCTGGATTACTTCTTGTTCGGTCATCTACTTAAAAACACTATTTTTAAAACTTCCATTCACACCATAGAAAAACTGAAAGACATAATTACCGAAGAGTGTGTTCGTATTACTCCTGCTACATTACAAAATGTGTTTGATAACATGAAAACACGTGTCAATTTATGTATCTAGAAGAATGGATACCATTTCCAACAGTTTCTTTCACATCATAACATCATCCCTTCATTGCTTTGGCCAGATTTGTCTTCGGCTCACTACGTTGGTACCACTCTGGAACTGAATGCCAATAATGTGCAGTTTTTAGAAAAGGAAGATAATCTACCAAACTGTCCTGAGCTTCGTCCGATTGAGCGATATTGGGTAAATGTAAAAAGATTGTTAAGAAAAGATGGCAGCACAGCATTATCACTTGCGCAATTTAAAAACATGTGGATTCCTGCTAACAAGAAAATTACGAAGAAACCTATTGCAAACAGTGATTGGCCGTATTCGTGCAATCGTTAGAAAATTTTATAGTTTCTGAATATAACTGATTAGAGAATAAAAATAATTATTTCATATAACATTCGAGTCTCATTTTTCTTTTGAGATTTAATCCGATAAAGATATGCTGTGTAATTAAAGATTAGTTTTCTTTTTGCACTTATCGATGAAAGCGTTTACCAATATCTGTTAAGCAACAACGTTTTATTTTAATATCTACCACTTATCACTTATGAGTATAGAACAAGATTTTTTAAAAAAAGATATAAAAAAGTAAAAATAGAATAGAACAAATAAAGTGTGATGAGAACGATGACATGACAAGAAAGTAAATTATTAAAAGATAATAATATAGAAACCACAAATAGCCGGCAACTATAAGCGATAAGCGGTAAGTAATGGAAAAGTAAAAGACGACGATAAAGAAAGGAAAGGAACAATAGTTGAATAAATAACATTGTCGACTTTAAAGCTTACTTGTTGTAATTTTTTTCGTTTTGGAAGCAATATGCTTTCAATGTTTAAATGTATACACATATAATTCATATTTAAGAGAGACGTTTATAGATATCTAATACTTTTATAACTTCTTCAAGTTTCTAGAAGTTTCTTGTTATGACTCGATGAGTAAAACAATGATAAAGAAAGTCACAAATAAGCCGTCGCTAGTTGGACAATGTTAAGATTTATTTTGAATTCAAATTCAAAGAAATACGAACAGTATACGGTTTTTGTAAGTTAGTTTAATGGATAATTTGGATGTTTTTCAATGCTGTAAAAAAATATGCTACATTCTCTTCTGAACTGTAAAAACGTACTTACCCAAACATAAATGTTTTGAAGTCAAGAAGTCGACCTTTTTCTCCTCTTTATAAAGCATATAAAGATTTCATATCATCTTCATCTAAGTTAATATTGTTTCGTTTCATGCAGACTCGACCGATATCGGGTTTCGCCTCGGGTCGTACCGCCCTCAACCCTCGAGGGGCAATCTGGCCACTCGAGACATATGTGCCTTTAGTTCGTAGGAATAACTTGTAAAGAACGCTTGTTTTGTTACTGTCTCAATATATACGCTAATTTAAGTCAACTGCGTATTTCTTTACTGCGAACTCATACCGACGGATAGTAACAAAAATCAAAATTTATTATCTTTTATTCTTTGTGGTGTTATGCTTTTCGGAATTGCGGAAATACCTATCTGTAGAAGAAATCTCAAAGCAACTTGTGCAGACGTTTCTTTTATGCTTTTCGGCAATTTGATCAATCACAGGATCGACGAAAATGCAATGTATCGAACTACAACTTTTAGGAAATTACAACATGCAGTAAACTCTACAATCTCAAAATTGATCAGTTCATTAAGTAGATTAGTTAAATCAATATTTTCTACATTGATAGAGCATTTTAATGCCAAAAGAACACCCCCACTTCTTGAAGTATTTAACTGATTATAATTACGATCACACCTATACACATTATATAAGTGAGGGGATATTATTTCTGAATTAGAGACAGAATCATTTAGCCATGTTTAAGACACGTCTACTCGATACGATCTCTAAAAATTCGTTTTGTATTTGATTTATTGAATCAGAAAATTTAGTTTCTAGTGTAGAAATCAATTTCTTTAGGTCATTTAAATGCAGTAAGTTATTGTTGCAACTGTTACATAAAACTTTGATTGATTTAGATTTGCTTCTAGTCGTTATGAGTATGACATCGCTGTCACTATAGACCAACACATCTAGAGTGGAACTGGCCTTGATAACCATCACATTGAATATTACAGGGGTTATTTTTGTTACCAATAGTATCACAATTCATAACAACTATTCATTTCGTTGAGAATAAGAGAAAAAGAAAAAAATTGAACACAGGGACACAAGGCTTCACACCCAGCAGTCGTTCAGAGTGACTCACTTATGCAAACAGACACTGGACTGACTATGGATGGTAAACACAAGAGGAGAAACCTTAGCTGATAGGATGACACTGATAGCGTTAATCGTTTAGTGAAAAACAAGAAATACTAAAAAGAACCTGGTGTACTTCAAGTGAAATGACTAAATATCGTACACTTGTGTCTTACGAGACAAATTTTTCTCGAATGAGTGTTCTGAACAATATTATAGGATTATTCAATAATATGAATTAATTTATATGAAATCACCTTGAAATATTAAGGAAGTTCGTTCAAGCAGCAAGCCGATGCGTGTACACACTCTCATAAATCCCTCACTTCTCACATCAACAATAATGAATTGTTTGCACTGTGGTGCTGCTGGCAAATCACCAACCGTTAACTGTGATGGCTGCCAAGGTCCTTTACATGCTAATTGTGTTGGATCGTCTGAGAATTATTTCAAATTGACCAGAGCAAAGTCAAGATCAATAAAAGTCGTTTGTAATCAATGCAACGCTAACATGAGTCAATTTAAAGACAATAATAACACATTAGAAGTGTTTTTGTTACATATATTTTCTCAACATGGTCGGAAAGGTAATTTTGTGCTGAACAACGCTTAAAAGAGATAATATACCCATGTCGTCAAAAAAAAAAAAAATTCAAACTTTTATTGTCGTCCGGTGAACTATTAGAAAAAATGAAGTGAATTCTAATTTTACATAGAAAAACGAGCAAGAAGCACTAAAAAAATGTTCCAAAGATTTTTGTCGACAGATATTTAATTATGTCTACGAATATTTAACCTGCCTAGAATATGTAGAAGGATCTAACTCTTTATAAAAGCCTCATGTATTCGGAAAGATTGGATACTTGGGTCTTTCTCTTAAATCTTTCTTCGACTTTTTTTGATTTCTCGATGAAAAAATTATCAGCAAAGAAATTTAAATGAGACATAATTTGTGGAACGTTTGTTTCCTAAAAATTCATTGATCACTAAGCTAATTGATTGCCAAGTAAATTTTTCCATATCATTCAAATAGACGTAGAAAATTTGATCCTTCATTCGAATTTCAGGTCCAATGAAAATTCCTAAATATAAAAAACGTAGATAATATGAAAACTGAAATTCACTGTAATATTTTAGGTTTTACCTTGGTTTATGTTAGCAGCAGAAAGCTTAGGAAATATTGTTTTCACATGTTGAAATGCTTTCTCTCTTCTTGTATTTCACTTGCATATGAAGCACATATGCAACGTCAGAAAAAATCTAATCATCTCTTAATTTTTGGTGTTCCAGAACCAGATTCAACGCTTAAACCGGAGGAGCAATCTCAGACTGATCAAGGGTTAGTTAGAAATATTCTTACAACAGGTAGACCTGAAATCCACGCCAACAATTATAAAAAAAATCTACGTTTGGGGAAATTTCTTCCACGTTCACGTCCAATCAAAAATGTATTAAGTGATGAATCCGAAATATCTCGTTTTGTTCAGTGTAATAATAACTTACGAGGCAAAGGATCTTCAAAAAATATATATCTCTCATATGACAGAACGCCTAAACAAACTGAGTATTATAAGCAGACAGTCTTGGGGACAGATACTTTTAAATGTATCTAGAATTCTAGATACAGATACAGATATATGGAAGATAAAAGTATCTAGATACAGATTGTTTTCGATTTTTCGAAATGTATCTAGATGCAGATACAAGATACTTTTTGAAGCTTTGGCTAATAAAATAACTGAAAATATGTTTAATGTATTGTTTAATGCATTTTTTAAAATTAACAACATTTCGAAATTATTATCACCTAAATTATTACTTCTTGGAGTCAGAATTTGGTTTCCGCTACTAAACACCCGCGCCACAGGTGCAGAAGAAGGGATTGTGGTATTAAATTTAAAAAATAAACATTTTACTGTAGCATGGTTATACAAGACTGAAAAATCTTTTCTTTTTTCCTACAAATAGGCTATCGCTTCGCTCTTTGATGTGTTGCAAATTGTGCAATATTTATTATGTACGCTTAAAAATAATATTTTTTTTGTTTTTATTCCCATACTACAGTATCCAAATTGTGTTTGAGTATATCTAATAATTATCTCCTGCATTAAAATTAATATTTCAAAAGAATACGGGAAATGATTATTCTGTGCTGAAGGTATGTTGTCGGCAACCTGTCATAAATTATTATTGTTCAATATCGGCTTATGATGTTTTTATGACCATGTTCGGTAATCGTCTATCCCGGTGCGGCAGGTATATACATTTTAGGAAGAATTGCTGGTTCCGTTTAATAAGGCAAAATAAGTACAATTTCTTAGAAAGGTATTTAAACCCCTTATAGGACCAAAGGCTGCCTGGGAGGCCGGAATCACCAGAGTGCAACTTTAAATTTTCAGATTTTTGTTGAAACTCATTTTATTTTAATCTCGTTTCCCGATTTCTGAGAATATATCACGATAAATTATACTACCGAGGGTTGTAAAAATGTTAATTTTATTCCCCAAAATTTACATTTAAACATAATCGGCACATTCTAGGGCAAAACGGACCGGCCAAGCCCGCCTCGCGTTAGGTCCAACAATGAAAAAGTGAAGAAATGACACATGTGGCAACAGGAAAAGATGCTACATTTGTCTGTAAAATAAAGCTATAAAACAGTAAGAAATATGCGATTTATGTAAGACAAATGTATGTATTGAACATTCGATTAGTCGATTAGAGAACTAATTTGTGCTAATTGAAAAAATTAATCATTATGTAACACGCAATTATTATTTTCTAAAAATAATAACATACCTTAAACAAATATTTTTACTATTAAAATTACTCATATTTAATAACACAAATACAACCAGCGGGCCTACCGGACCCGGATTGCTCAGGTAAACAGATAAAATGCATTGCCCCGGATAAGAGTAAAACGCAGTGAATAGTGAATTGTGGTTTATGGTTTTTAAAATACCATCTTACCATGGTTTAGATTTATTTCCCCTCAGGATTATATTTAAAGATGTATAAGTACTGAAGGCTACAATGTAGAAAATGATGGTATTTAAAATATGAAAATTTCCGTGACAGAACACTATTAGTGGACCTCTTACCTCTATTTTTGTTTATGTGACCAAAATCACCAAGATGAAGTATCAAAAATTATTACCAGTATAACTCAACTAATAACTACTGAAAAAAAATTGAAATAAAAAAGTGTATCTGTATCTGCGCCATTAATTTTGTATCTAGATACAGATATTTTGTGCTTAAATTCGATTGTATCTAGATACATATACTAGATACCCAAAAATGTATCTAGATACTTTTTTTAGATACAAGTATCTAGATACTGCCCAACACTGTAAGCAGCTGAAATTACAATTAACTTTCGATGAAAAATTTACCATGTTTATGTTAATTTTAAAGCATCTCCAAGATTTCAAAGCATTCGGTTTTGTAGTTCCTGATTAAATAAATAAAATAAATTCACGTATTCGTTAATTTTTTAGAGTCACCCTGTATATGCGAATCCAAAAAATATGAATAGAATCATAAATCACAGGTACAGATTCATCATATTTTGTACATTTTAGATAGGATTGATTCGGCAAACTTTTGAGCTTACATCATCAATTTTTTGGAGGGGATAAGTAAATATATTTTGATTAAAAATTTATCATCTTTATCATAACTGTAAAACATCTGCAAGATTTCAAAGCTTTCGGTTTTGCAGATTCAAAATTAAATTGCAATTTTTTTTTTAATCCGGACGTTTCGGGCAAAAACTCAACACGGAGTCATAAACTACATGTGTAGGACTATGTTATTTTATATAATGTAAACCCATTTACTATGTACAATTTTAATGAGAGGTCATCACATTATTGGTGAGGATTAAATTTTGGTTAATGTTTTACTATCTACATAATATTAATATTCATAATATAAATACAAAATCTGACAACAATCGGGCCAGTCATGAAAGGTCGAGAAAACATCAAAGGGGAGAGTCGACCGACGGACTCGATTACAATGCTTCCTTCGCTTACGCTCGCGAAATATTACAAAACTTTCTTCATCAGAACAGCGAATAAACTTATAATCAAATAAATTGTAGGTGAAACGAAATTCACTGGGTCATCTAGTCATCATATAAAAACGTTGAGTTATTTGAATTCGACGAGCAGAAGATTGATGTAAGGAAAGTCAGGAATACATCATCTTTATTCGAATTTAATATTAATTTATTTTAAATTTAAATAAACCCTGTACGTTATTTAAATAGGCAATCTGGATGCTCTTTAACGCTGTAGAAGCAGGTATTAAATTTTTTTAATTAGTAACCAAAATACTCTTACCCAGACATTAGCAATCCAACATTAGCTAGTCAACATTGCTCTTTTTTTTCTAAAGTATTTAAAGATTTCATGTCATCTTCGTCTAAATTAAAATTAGAAACATTTACCTATATTCTCTTTTATTCTTTTTGGTGTGACGTTTTTCGGAATTGGAGAAGAAACCGCAAAGCAATTTGTGCTGGTGTTTTCTTTTGCTTTTCAGCAATTTTGTCCATCGGCAAAAATATTAGGTAAATGTTTAAAACTATATCACTCTGGGAATTACACCCTACAATAAAAAAATGATACTTACTCTTTCCCGAGTCGTTAGAAAATTTGTGCAACCGTTTGATTTGCAACACGACAATATGCAACGACCGTTATTCCATTTTTATGACAGAAATCAAAAAGTTCTTTTTGCTGGAGATCACGGTTGGCGATACATGTGCATTTCTATTTTTTGTAAATTCACGAGTTTTAATGTTGAGGTCTTTAGTAGGTACTGTCGAAATGTTTTTGTCGAGAAAGTAAATATTTTGAGTACCTTCCACAAAGCTGCATGATCTGTTTTTCCTTCAGTTACAACCTCGCCTTTATCGTCAAAATACGGCCCCACATTACCTTCCTTATATTTGCAACCAACTGGCAAATGAATCAAATATAAATCCACGTAATCTAGTTGTAGATTTTCCAAAGACTTTTTCATGAACGCATCTACTCAATCCAGATGACTCGCCACTAGTGGTAGTTTCATAGTAATAAACAAATCTTTCCATTTGATTTTTCCAGATGACAACCATTGTTTCAATACTCTGCCAATAGCTTGTTTATTTTCGTAGGCTCATGCTGTGTCTATGTGACGGTATCGCAATTCTAGTGTTGTGTTAACGGCTTTCTCAATCTCAGCGTCATCTTTTGCCTAAATATATTCAGTGATAAAAATTTCAAGTATGTAGTAAAAGTTTCCTTAGTTGGGCCAAGAATTGGCATTGTTCGCCCACTAGGAAGCGTCAAAAAGATTTTTGATGTCATAGTTGTATTTATTCAAACAATGCGTATTTACATTTGAAGTTGTAGTGATATTAATAGATACGCAGCTTAAATGTAGGTGATGAAAATTAGACAAACTGTCATCTCCATATGGCACAGGTTCTTTTTAAAACTGTCGGTAAGATTACATTGTTACATGTGTACATACGTTATCTGTAGTGTCACGCACACGTTCTGCTCTTCATATCCTCCACAACGTGTGCATGACTCTGGAGCTGCTAAAATAGATTTATAACGAAACTAACATTTTGATTACAATTAGTAAGTTGAATTGGTTTACTGCATTAAATATATTCAAGACTGAAAATCAATATTACACAATATTCTAATCTAACCAACAGTTCGTAAAAAAGAACCAGTCCTATCGAGATAACAATTTATCTAACCTTCGTCACTTATATAAGCTGCGTACTTACAAACACCGTTGCTAAACCTGACTACAACTCTTAAGTGTAAATACACAGTGTCTGAGGTGCTTGAAACAATGACATCAAAAATGTTTTTGACACTTCCAAGCGGACAAAAAATGCCGATTCTTGGTTTGGGAACGGCCCAAGTAAAAAAAAATCTAATTTAAAGATGGAAACCTTTATTACTATTTCTAGGCAAAAACCGATGCTGAGATTGAGACAGCCATTAATACAGCACTAGAATTAGGATACCGTCACATAGATACAGCGTGGGCCTATGAAAACGAACGACCTATTGGCAACGTCTTGAAACAGTGGTTAACGTCTGGGAAACTCAAACGAGAAGATTTGTTTATAACCACAAAACTGCCACTGGTGGCAGTTCATCCGGATCGAGTAGATGCGTTCATGAAAAAGTCTTTGGAAAATCTACAACTAGATTACGTGGATTTATACTTGATTCATTTGCCAGTTGGTTGCAAATATAAGGAAGGTAATGTGGGGCCGTATTTTGACGATAAAGGCGAGGTTGTAACTGAAGGAAAAACAGATCATGCAGCTTTGTGGAAGGTACTCAAAATATTTACTTTTTCGACAAAGACAGTTATTTTCTAATTTCAGAAAATGGAAGAACAAGTAGAAGCAGGGCACACTAAAAACATTGGTCTTTCGAATTATAACATCGCACAAATTTCGACGGTGCTGAAGACGGCAAAAATAAAACCCGCGAATTTACAAATAGAAATGCATATGTATCTACAGCAAAAAGAACTTGTAGATTTCTGTCATGAGAATGGAATAACGGTCGTTGCATACTGTCCTATCGCACATCCAGGATTGGCACAAACTCTAGAACGAATGGGAATAAAATAGTAAGTCGTCAAATATTTTACTGAATGACGTAATTTCGTAAAAATCGTAGTTCTCACCAGTTGCCTACTCTTTTCGACGATCCTGTGGTTACCAAAATTGCTGAAAAGCATAAAAAGACGTCAGCACAAGTTGCTTTGAGATTTCTTGTACAGATAGGCGTTTCTGCAATTCCGAAAAGCGTCACACCAAAAAGAATAGAAGAGAATATAAATGTTTTTGATTTTGGTTTAGATGAAGATGATATGAAATCTTTATATGCTTTAGAAAGAGGAGAGGAGGGTCGATTGCTTCATTTTAAAATATTTATGCCTGGGTAGGTATGTTTTTATAGTTCAGAAGAAAATTTAATATGTATTTTTACAGCCTTGGAAAACACCCAGACTATCCTTTCAAATAACGTACAAACATTGTATATGGTTATGTGTGTTTGAATTAAAAATAAATCTTAACATTGTTCAAATAATGACGACTTATTCCTAACTTTCTACATATTTATTGTTGTAGTAACTGCTTAAATAAAAAATTAGATGAGTGTATGATTGATGTATTGCTCCATTTTCTCTTAATTTGAGAACATATTACAAGTATAACGGATTAATATTTAAAGTGTGTAAACGTCATTGGTTTTTGAATTAGATGAGAACCCTAGTTCGAAAAGCTGTAACAGACTTAACGTTTACATAATAATCATATGTTCGCTTGCCATTGTCCTTGTTATATTAGGTTTTTTTTAAACATTGTTCTATATTGAAAAATATCAATAAAGAAAAACGTTTTAATTTAACCACTACGAGAAAGAATGTGTTATGTACCAACAGATTAAACTAGTTTTTAATTCCCCTGAGGGGATGTTCAAATCACTTATTTGAAAAAGAATACACTAAGTTTTGTAACTGATGAAGTCAGAAAAAGGCCATAAGCGTCAACAAGGATACAATCCTCGCCTATTTGTCCGAAAAAGTAAAGAATGTCAAATCTTCAAGTTTGTGTACCTATTTTTATTCTGAATTGTGATTCAATATGAAAAATTATTGCAGGTTCGGAAAAGTTATAGCATTCCTGAAGAAGCAATCATGACTCATGAGGTTACAGGTCAAAGAAATCAAAGATTCTTACGGGTGAGAATGTCAGTACCTTCTTAAATGAAGCTCCCGACAAGGATTATTTGCTAATAGAAGTGGCTACAATAATGGGTATCGCAGGAGGTTGTAGAACTGCAGAATTAGTTGATTGGCAGATAGGTCATATAGAAGATCGTGGTTCTGTTCTTCCTAGAGTATTTACCATTGTCGAATACGAAAGCAAGAACACACTTTATTTACAATTATGTAGGATGTATGAAAACCTACGACCAAAGAACGTACCACACGCCACACAAGAGATTTTTTATTAATTACAAGCGTAACAAATGACTGTACAGACGATGAGAAAAAATGCGTTCTCTAAATTTCCTAAGCTGTTGGCTGAATTCTTACAGTTAGCAGATTCTGCTCTATACAAAGGACATTGCTATACACTCATTACAAGCGAAGCCACTAGATCTACTAGAGTAACATTAACCTCCCAAAATTGAGTGATTTTAAGAGTGTAACGATCGTAGCAATATGGGCCTCTTCCAAAATTGTAACGTTAATATTTACTTATGCGGCAAAAATATGTAGTATTAATAGTATGCAATGTACCAAAAAATTAAATACTTGTCGTTAATGACTTGTTATCTGTCTTTGTATGAAGCGGGAGTTAAATTAAAAAAAAATTTTTTTTAATCCCTTGAAAGTTAAAAAATTCTCTAGGGATTAAAAACAGTCATTACATTGCAATAAGTGGGGATTAAAATAAGAGAAAATGCATCGGTGTTGAAATAAGCATTTATCGATTAGTGCAACAAATGAATCATCTGTAGTTACGCAGCACAATTTTATCAGATTAATTCTCAAAAAAAATGTAGGTATACACTTACATAAAAGCTGTCGTTTTTGAAAATCAGTCATTATAGACGAGATATCACCGTTCTTGTTTTGTAGCGTTTTCGTTAAAATTTTCATCAAATGGCTTCAAAAATTTCCTTGACTCTCCCAAGTGGTCAAAAAATGCCGGCCCTTGGAATCGGGACTCTCGAAGTAAGTGAAAATACTTTTTAGTTCCAAAAATAACTATTACATTTAGACCAATAGCGAAGAAGAAGTAGAAGCGGCAATAAATGTGGCTTTGGAACTGGGTTATCGTCACATCGACACGGCTTTCGTTTACCAAAATGAAAAACCTATTGGTAAAGTTATCAACCAGTGGATATCATCCGGCAAGCTCAAGAGGGAGGACTTGTTTATCACCACCAAGTTACCGTTGGTAGGAGTTCACCCAGATCGAGTAGAGATGTTTATGAAGAAGTCTTTAGAAAATCTACAACTCGATTACGTTGACTTGTACTTAATTCATTTTCCTGTGGGCTTCAAGTATCAAGAAGACGGCCCTCATATGTTTGTTATAGAAAACGGAGCACCTGTAACAGAACCGAAGACAGACCATGCGGCTATTTGGAAGGTACAATTAAAAAAACAAGAACAAATATATTTATTTAAGTTTGCTATTTTAGAAAATGGAAGAACAGGTAGATGCAGGTCGCGCCAAAAGTATAGGTCTATCGAACTACACTGTCTCCCAAATTGCAACTGTTCTGAAATCCGCGAGAATAAAACCCGCTAACCTCCAAGTGGAAGTACACGTTTATTTGCAGCAACGTAAGTTGCTTGAATTTTGTAAGAAAAATGGGATCACCGTTGTCGCTCACACCCCTTTGGCAAACCCCAATTTCAACAAATTTTTGGAGAAAATGGGTAGCAAGTATGTAGCTAACTGTTTAGGTATTAGGATAATAGCAGTGTTTTCTACAGACCTAAAAAACTGCCGGATATACTAAATGATCCAGTAGTCGGAAAAATTGCCCAAAAACATAAAAAAACTGCCGCGCAAGTGGCTCTAAGATTTCTTTTGGAGATAGGTGTTGCTGCTATTCCCAAAAGTGTTACGCCCAAAAGAATCGAAGAAAATATAAGTATTTTTGATTTCAAGTTAGACTGTAAAGACATGAAGGCTTTGAATAAATTGGAAGTTGGAGAACCTGCGCGTATCGCAGATTTTAAAGCTATTCGAGGGTATGTAAAAAATGTGCATTAAAAAAGTTCTAAAATGTGATTATCATTTTTTCAGAATAGAGAACCATCCAGATTATCCGATGAAATAAAATGAAAATTAATAAAGGTGTCTTCAACTTACAGGTTTTTTTTTTAATAAATTCCTATTCCAGAAACAAAATACGGCCATTTGTTTGATGATAAATAAATATATATGCATGCAGGCAAATTATAAAGTTAAAAGCTCAAATAAAATTATAATATGTATAATAATCAATAACTTTATAAATAAATGACAACCTATTTTCTATTGGCGTGTTTTTGAATTTGAAAAAAATAAATCAATAGCATGTTCTAAATACGTCTACTATAATAGCTTGAATTTTGTCACTTTCATTTTACATTAACGAAATTGAAACATTCACAAACAAACGCGTATTATTATTTTAATTAATCTTGGTATTTCTGGTATTTCATTTCCATATTTTGGGTTAAATTTTTGTCAAAGCGGAGCTTTCTGTAGGTAAATGAATATCAACTGAAATAATATTTAATACATAGTAGGTTACAAGAAAGTAAATTATCAAAGCTGATGCAACACAGTATTATAGAAAAAGTGTATAAAATTTCCATTATTGTGGAGTATTGATTTTCGAAACTGAACATGTTGAGGTTAACAAATAAACTTAATATTTGTTATTACAATGTTAGTTTCAGTGTCAATCTGTGTTAGCAAATTCAGGATTCAACAATGAGCTCCTAACTGCAATATATTTCTCTGTCATGTACACGGTCTCCTGGATATGAACTATTTATTGGCCAGTGTGCATATCTGTGCAAACCATGTGCTTTGTAATCATGTACGATTGCCAAAAATGTCAATATTTTGTGAAGACTGAACATTTATAAAGCCAAGTTGAATTTATAATCTAACAAAAATTACTCGAGTCGGAAATTAAGGTGCAGTTGAAAAAATGTTTGTTTATCACAAATCTGTGTTAGCTGTGGGTGATGTCATGATATATCTATATTTAGCAACAGTTTTGATTGCATGGTCTACACATAATTTGTACATTGAATGAAAGGGAAGAATCTGTTTTATATGTAAATATTTATTAAAAAAAAAGTCAACTCATCGAGCAGCTTTAAAAATTTTGTACGCACAATAATCGATAAGGTTGCAAAAAAAAATGTCTAAAAGGTGCTTGAATATTATGGGATTATAGTGATTATATTGCACAAACAAATTTTATCAAAGTCTTAAAATGCATTGTCGATAATTGTGTTGTCTAGTATTTATTGCACAAGAACGTTTTAATTGTCATCTATTTCACTTTTATCGGCAAACAATGCTTTAAAAATAGATATAAAAATGTAAAAATAGAGCAAAGTAAATATGTAATATACTTAAATTATTTTAAGGAAAATGACATTGCAAATAGTAGATTATCCAAAAGTGTATGAGATAACAACATGAGGATCATAATTAATTATTAAGTAAATTTCTAAGAAATAAGTGAAAATAAAAATTGAATGAGAATAAAGAAGAAAAATAAGTTCGTATGTCCTTTCTTTATGATTAAATTTTTTCGTAATGTTGTCACTGTAAAATCAAATATTTTACAGGCTGATAATTAGAATTTAAAGTTTGTTAAAAAAAATGAGTAAGTTAGTGTGATTTATTATTCACATAATCCAACAAATCAACGGAATTTACGGATATTTAATAACCAGTTATTATAACGTTCTTGGAATAGAAAATGAATATGACACCAAGTTTTTTTTATGGAGTTACCAAAATACACTTATTTGAATTCGATGAGTAAAATATTAATATGAGGAAAGTCAGGAATAAATGGTCCTTATTCGAATTTAATATTTATTTTAAATTTAAATAAACACTGTACGTTATTTTAATGGAAAATCTGGATGTTTGTCCATGCTGAAAAAACACGTATTAAAATTTTTGAATTAATCGTCAAAATACCCTTACCCAGACATTAACAATCCAAAATTAGCTAGTCGACCTTTCTCTCCTTTTTCTAAAGCATTTAAAGATTTCATATCATCTTCGTCTAACTCAAAATCAAAAACATTCATATTCTCTTCTATTCTTTTTGGTGTGACGCTTTTCGGAATTGGAGAAACCCCTACTTGTAGAAGAAACCTCAAAGCAACTTGTGCTGGCGTTTTCTTATGCTTTTCAGCAATTTTGGCAATCACAGGATCGGCAAAAATATTAGGTAAATGTTTAGAACTACAACACTTTTGGAAATTACACCATACAATTAAAAAATTGCCACTTACTCTTTTCCCAGTCGTTCGAAAATTTGTGCAAACGATGGGTTTGCGACAGGACAGTATGCAACGACCGTTATTCCATTCTTATGACAGAAATCAACAAGTCCTTTTTGCTGTAGATACACATGCATTTCTACTTGTAAATTCGCGGGTTTTATTTTTGCCGTCTTCAGTACCGTCGAAATTTGTGCAATGTTATAATTCGAAAGACCAATATTTTTAGCACGTCCTGCTTCTACTTGTTCTTCCATTTTCTGAAATTAGAAAAATGATTCTCGTTGTCGAGAAAGTAAATATTTTGAGTACCCTCCACACAGCTGCATGATCTGTTTTTCCTTCAGTCACAACCTCGCCTTTGTCATCATAGTACGGCCTCACATTACCTTCCTTATATTTGCAACCAACTGGGAAATGTATCAAATATAAGTCCACGTAATCTAGTTGTAGATTTTCCAAAGACTTTTTCATGAACGCATCAACTCGATCCGGATGTACTGCCACCAGTGGTAGTTTTGTGGTAATAAATAAATCGTCTCGTTTGAGTTTCCCAGAGGTTAACCATTGTTTCAAGACTCTGCCAATAGCTCGTTCGTTTTCATAGGACCATGCTGTGTCTATGTGACGGTATCCTAATTCCAGTGCTGTGTTAATGGCTGTCTCAATCTCTGCATCGTCTTTTGCCTAGAGATAGTAATAAAAGTGTGTTTGCTTTAGATAGGATTTTTTCTTACTTGCCACGTTCCTAAACCAAGAACCGGCATTTTTTGTCCGCTTGGAAGTGTCAAAAAGATTTTTGAAGCCATCGTTGCAAACACTTCAAACACTGAGTATTTAGATATAAAAGCCGTAGTTATATTTGTAGGTCCTATTTATAAGTGTAGGTGACGAAGGTTAGATAAACCGTTATCTCGATACCAGTGGTGACTTGTAGTTTTTTTTTTACTGGAGAGTCATATATGTATATTAATGCAAACCTTCTATAAACTTATTTTCTATTTTTAAAACGCCTTAAACTTCAGCTTAATTCTTCTACCTTTTGTGTTTGAAAAACTTTTATATTTACTTGTACTCTTCCATATTTTTCGTTCATCACCGACGCAGCGTTGTAACTCTGGCCTACTACTTTTTCTGGATTTTTCAAAATATCCAACCAATCGAGAAATTTAAAAATTTCGTCACTCAGGTATAGCCGTCGTCCCAGAGGGATTAATAAACTAAAAAATCTTTCGTACATTAGACCATTAAGAAAATATTTACAAAGAAGCACATTTGCGTTTTTGTGGAACTGTCAGCCGTTTCATCAGTTTAAGCAGCTATAAAATCTGATACAGTGATTTCAGATCAAATTTTTTCTTGACCAACACCAAGCATGGAATCAAGCATTTTCGAACTCCCCTTAATATTAGCATTTTTATCTAAATGCTCTTTAAAAATGTCAATTTCCGTCACAAAGTTAACGTTCTCTGCTAAATCAAATGCACTAAAAATTTTAATACAAATCAGAATTTTCGATATAATGCAACCATTTTCTCTTACATTTTCATTGAGTTGTTGAATTCAGTTTCTGTAAAAATATGCTAAACAGTGTGTAATCCGCGGCTGAATGCAATAATGTGAAATGCGAATATCGACCCAGAAACCCAGCTGATACAGTACCTAGTTGTTATGATTGCCGAACGCAATTCGTTGATGTTCGGTGGTACGCGGTCATTGACCACGTTGCTTCTTATGGAACTATGTTTGACACTGTACAACTTTGCTGTAAGTTTATTTCACTCCCACTCAAATCAAGGCTCTACGTATAATACTCTGCGTGAGGCCAATGTTTATAACTGACCCACCCAATCGCGAATGAACCATTCTCATTCCTAGTTGGTTGGGTTTTATTGTGTTATGGTATATAAATACGAATACACAACTGATAAATATACTTTTGAAAAAAAAATCAGTTTTTAACTTTTTATTTTTTGGGAGTCATTAATCAATTGATCACATGGACGGCAAGATTCCATTTTTGTGTTAATACTTATTTCCAACTTGAACATATTTGCACGAAGACAAATTTAAATTAATACTAATTAAAAAATGCTGGTTTCGGTATAAATTTGTGTTAGCCGCTCCAGGATGAAACAATGCTCTTTCTAACCGTCCTGTCATGCACATACATGTTCTGATTGATATCAACTATTTATTGGTTCGTGTGCGTATATCTGGAAAGCATGTATTCTGTATTCATATATTGGTAAAAATGTATAAAGACTGGAAATTTGCAGAGCACAATTGAATTTATCATTGGGCAAAATTCACTTTAAAGCGGAAATGAAGTTGCAACTGAAAAAAAAACTTGTAAATGTCTGCCTCGAATTTGTAAAATGTAAAGTCCAGTTTATCACTAATCTGTATTAAGCTGTGGCTGACGTTATGAGATTTAGAGAAACAATTTTGTTCCCACACTTCGTTAATAATAATTCGTATTTTAAATGAAACTGGGGGATGTATTTTTTTATACATATTTTTTTAAATTTTCTGCACGATGTAATATAACCTCATGTTGAAGGTACATTATTATTCGAATTTACTACATTAATGATCGATACTAATATTTATAGGTAATTTATAGCAGGCTAATACGTGTTATAATAAAACTTAACGTTATGCAACCAGTTATACGCCACCATTTAAGAGTGGCTATCAAATTAAATTAACACGGTAGTACAATTATTATATTAGGGTGTTAATTCCTGTATTTTGCAAGTTGTTCGATAATTAAATATTAATTAAATATTTGAAGGCAATAAAAATTACGAAAAAAAAACAAAAATTTAATACTTTCCAGAAACTAATTGTAACTCAATATAATTGCAAACAGTATGTATATGTTTTAATTATACCTTTACAGTTTTCGTAGTGTAGTGGTTATCACGTGTGCTTCACACGCACAAGGTCCCCGGTTCGATCCCGGGCGGAAACAACTTTCTTTTTTTTTACTTATTTTAAAAGTAACGATTAGTTAAACACTTAAAAAGGATGGTCGACGGTAACTTCTCTGCGCGTGATAAAATATTCATGCGGATTTTCCGTTTGGAACATTTAATTTAAATTTGCGAAATCCTAATGGTCCTCTAACGAGTTGATGTCGAAATGAGACTTTTTACGTCTACTTTATTTGAAATTTACTTTAAAGCTAAGCCTTCCGTGCCGCTGAAAAGTTTAGCAGAGTTAATGAAATTCAGATTAGTTCAAAATTTAATAAATTGTGTTGTTGTCTTTATAAATTCTCTAATAATAAATTTTACGGCCTGATGAAACATTTTTTTACTCGTTGAAACGTAATAATTATCGTTGCGACACGTCCCACATCGTCTACGCCACACCAAAAATCAAGCCTACCAACTATGCAAATTATAGGGTTGTATAAAATTGTTTATACAATGCCCACATTTACTTTCATTTCGCAATATTGGAAGATAATGGGCAATTCTACGCTACCACCACAAATTGCCTCCATTAAAACGATTATTAATTATAAATTCAGCGCTCGCAGCTAGTTACAACTACCACAAGTCATAATTAGAGCGTTCATGCAATATGAAATAATCGTAGGTGGTACACAAATTAAATCTTTACTTTCTAATAAACTCTATTCATGGCGTATTAACCAAATTAACTGTGTTAAAATTAGAGTTTGATTGAAATTCGCGCTTTCGAAGCCTGGTTTTCGACGTTTACGAGCTTGAAGTGTTTTTTTCATAAAGACATAGTTTTTCAAGTGTGTGTTCAACTTCATATTTCGACTACATAACCGAATTATAAGTTTTGATGGCTTCAACTAAACAACAGCACCGAATTATAGAAAATTTAGTTTCCGATACGAGCAGCTTTCAAAGCTTCAGATGTATGTGACAGGGGATGTAATAAAGTCAGCGTATTGAGTGCAGATCCTTTGTAACAAAGAAACACGAGTCGCGAGACAAGTCAAATATAGCAACATTTTAATTCAAACAAACTGTCGAAATGTTTTTGAAACGAGTAAGCGTTGGTTGTTTGTGAGAGAAAACTATTCGTTATTAAAAAAGTCGAGATGTACTTCATTAAAAACGGAGTATTTGTAGGTAAAGAAGGCTAAGCGCTACTTCTGACATCAAAAGGACGAAGGAGAAAATAGTTTAATTTTACGGAAAAACGGGATCAGGAAAATCGTTTGCTTTTTGCTGTTTATGTTTACAATACAGTAAAGAGTTGTATTGTGTCATTAAGCTGGAAAATTTATTTTGTAGCGTCCCTGGACGAGGATGTAATTAAATATTGCAACGTATATGTGAGCTCGTTTTTTTGTAATTAGTTCAACAATAAAAACACAGTAAGATACAGGTCTCCACCTCTAAAAAAATTGAGAATTTTAATCCAAGCTAGTGATTGTACACACAGACAATAATGAACACAATTCTTAGTAATTACAAGCAAATAACAATGTTAATACGACTTTCTCTGCAGTAATTTTGGTAATTGACAAGAGTGTTGCAATAATAATATCGAAATGAAATATTACAACACCCAAAATCAATTTCCAGGGTCGCTATTATATCAAATATTAATGTGTGTATTGTGGGAATTTTACAATAGAAAAATAGCGTGCCGGGATTTCATATAAAAGAACATTTGGAAGGAAGCCCAGCAAAAAATTCATTTTTTTCTGAGAACTAAATGTCGGCTATTCCAATAATTCTGACGAAATAAAATCCCCTATTACTCACATATAGGTCAGCATTCAGCAAAATTATCCCGGCTCGATCGCATCATTTCATTGTCCGAAAACAAACAAATTAATGCACAAGTCATAGAGAGGGTCAGCGTATCAGATAACCAGTTGAAAAGCCGCTGTTATCCTCAGTCCATTTTCGATCTTGCTAACTCCCAAGACAGATTTCGTATTCTATTAGCGCGCGTAAAGTGATTTCTCTATCGGATCTCTTACATTCATCCTATTTCGAAGGCTGTCGGAACGAAGTCGCTTTTAAAGTTGAGATTCTTGTAGTTTTCGGTGTTGTAAAATCGTAAATTTGTTTACTTCTGGATTAAGGGATAAAATGATGGGACAGTGGGAAATGGACTGCGTTGGAGGCGGCACGTGATCTTTGTTTGGATGCAGTTGTTTAATGCGGACCGAGCCAGAAGAAATTGATAGCACTAAGGTCAGGGATAAATACATAGTCCCGGTTTCTGGGTCATGTGGACTTTAGATTTTGCCTCGGCGGGGTTTGCACTAACAGAGCCGGGAAATGGGACGCAGAGTAAGATGTTTTTGCTCAGTTTTACGAGTTTATGGGACGGAAGCGATTATATTACGATTTGACTAATTACATTAAATAAATTGGATAAAAAGTTCATGAATAAAATTTGGTAAAACGGCTAAAGGGATAGAATTTTGTTACAAGTAGTGTAGATTATTATTAGATAGATAATTATTTTTTAGGTTTCCACAAACTCATGTCTAAATACGATTTTTTTAATTTGTAATCTCACATCGAGATATTGTTTAAATTTCATTTATATGTAGAAATTGTTAGTTAATAATTTTGACAGTAATTAAAAAAATTAATTTAGACTGAAAATTTATCGATAATAAGAGGGTAGTTTAATACGATATTTAAAGACAAAGGGTTTCAGACTACAAATTTCATGATGGTACGTTAAAAATATTTCTTCCTCTTTATTCAGTTCATTCATTTCGTGGCAGGATGTTTTCTAGGGCTTAAGAGTTGTACATATTATTTCAGCAAAGGCTTATACACGCCCGCCAGTTTTGCAGTTTTTTCTTTTAAAAACATTAGTTACTGAAATTTCCAACGTGTAATGTAGACACTTAACGAATTAAAATATTATTAATAACATCACGCCATCAACTATTTTTAAACGTCTTATGAATTTTTCGATTAAATCGTCAACATATTATATTATTTCGTTTGATCTTAAATTGCGCTACGGAAATAATTTTTGAGATAAACGTTTTAATCAAAATGATTAATTAATCGTTAAAAATTGTTTTAAATTTGCAAGAAGCACCAACGTTTGGATTTTGTCCACCACTTTTATCACTGACGTTTACATGACAAGCAGATTTATTAATTGTGTTTAAAACGCTTAAGAAACCTGAAATCTATGACTAACGTTACGCCACGTGTAAGATTTTTACAACGACTTAATGGCATTTTTATGGATTAAATTTTAAACACTGCTTTGTAAAGTATGTAAATATACGTCATTTATCAAATTGCTGTTTACCGTCTATCAGAAAAAATGACGTCTTAATGATGTGTCGGCTACGAAAAAATCATACAAAATGTAAGGTGTAAACTGTAAAAACTCATTAATTTTTATTGTTTGACTTTATCGTTTGTTATAGTCTCATTTACTTTTCAAATCTGAAAGAAACAAATGTGTTTTGAAAAAATATATACATTCATCATCCTTGCTGTGATCGTGTGACAGTTACATGACAAAACAAATTTCCGTCTAACCGTTATACAGAATTATATTTATTGTCAAAAAAACTGTAGATGAATTACCTCGTTAATTATAAAATTCAATTCATGTCGGTATGATATTTTTCCAGTCGGATATGCAAACGTAATTTGTGTTGTGCTATGATATGGAATCCATAACAATTTGTTTATGCAAATTTTAATTGCAATAGTTACAACAGGTTTCAATTCCCACCGTTGAAATATTTATGTGAGCCATAAAAAACGACCTAAAAGAGATGATTCGACCAAATTTCCTAGGTTTTGTGGAAATCAATTAAACAGTCACAAACAATCAATACCCACGCTCTTTGAGTAAATTATGACTACGCCATCTCGATAATTCACTTTAATTTTTCATTATGGTCAATAACACACTTTGAATTTTGTAAATGTTCTACCGCTACATTCAACATCAAATTCGTGCATCCGCTTATTATAATTGATCGAAAAGTTTTTTAACGTGCTGTTAATAGAGGAATTAAATTAAAGTTGGTGGAATATGGAAGCGCTTTATCGTTTTGTACCATTCATAACAGGATTAGAGGAGCTGACGCTCAGCTTGTAAACAACTCCTTATGTACACTTTAAATTTGATGGGATTACCCATTAAAGACTTAATATAAATTCTTCGTCCTATATGGAGTGTTTGCATTTATTGATTTCACGTCACTCATTTATTACTTTTTTTTTGTTGAAAGATTCGTTCCGCGGTCATCGCATCCATCTAGTCGTTGTCAACGATAGTAGATGTATTCAATTTTAAAAGCAGTTTAGATTAAAGAAATATTCAATGCACCCGTCCGTCACTCCTCCAGTGAGCTTTTGCAGCAAGAAATTCACATTTATTTTTATTTTTATTTCTATTTAACATGCTCGAAAAGTAATAATTTGCAAGCTTCCTGTCGCTGCAATTTAAATGCAAATTAAAAATTATTAAAAGCTCTTCTCAGTAAGTATCGATTTGAGCTTTATACAGAACGGTTGCTCGTTTTGCTTTATACTTTGAGATAATATCACGATCATCATCACATTTTTTACACAATGAAGTTTATTAGAGTGGAGCGAGTGCCCGCATAATAAACCTGCTTCATTTACCGCAATTCTGTTTTGCTTTTTGTTAGCTCTGGAGACTCACATTTAGAATGCGTTATTAAGGGGAGAATAAATTATTTAATTTTTCTGATAATGGTGTTTTCGTTAGCGGCAGTTTCATATGACATGAGAGAAGATTTTTGTGTGTTATTTCGCCCTTTCATGCGGCAAATGTGCTGTTTATTTTTTTTTATAACTTGGGCTGGAAGCACACAGTAACGACAACAGTACAAAATCATTAAAACAATTTTAATTACTAATTTGACTGCTTCATATGTATACTCGAAATAAAAAAAAAAACGTTATTATAATAACTGTAGACTCTCAGAAATACATCTCTAGAAACGGTAAGTTAATGAAAATAATAATTCCCGGCAAATTTTCTTCTCCAAAAAGCTCATACGTCCGCTATGCAAATATTCAGATAATCCCAACACTAATGAAAAGATAATCTCTCAGAGCCGATTTTTAATTAGTGTTGTCAGGGACTCCTTCTGAAAATTTATCATTTTGTAAATCCCGCGTTACAACCTCCAAAATGTTGCTTCAACGGCTAAAGTAAATAACAATTATTAGACGATGTTGTGGTAAGGTAAAAGTTTGGAGTTCGTGTAGATGGCACGTGAATTATTAAATAAACACTCAAGTTAACAGAGGCCACGGAAAACAAGTCGGATGTGTTTTCCTGAAATCTCTTTCCAAGTTAAAATAGACGGGGAAGTTGAGTTGAGTGCCCCCTTGAGACAGAAAACTACATTTCTATGAAGTGATGAAGATTGAGTCGAATGTGTTTTCTAGAGGTTTGTGAGTTTGAAGAAATGGGTTTGAGAGAAGTTTCGTATTTGGTTCAAGTTTATAAGCTATTTAAATAATGGGAGTTGGTGTTGACCACCGACACTACTTGTGCATCAGTATATTTGTGCAGCTTCAGTTTAGAGCTTTCAAAATCTAGAATTTTATTACGCGATATTTATTTTGATTCATTCGCCATGAAATTGGCAAAATCTAAATAATAAAAGTATCCAAACAGACACCATCTTTGATGTCTTAGATGTGCCCTTGAGGAAACCTTTAGTGGGAGCCGGAATTCTAGTCTAGTTGAGAACCAGAAAAAAGCTCAGGCACCAGTTTTTTGTGGTGGCTACATTAAACAAACTCATCCACCAAATTTATTGCAGAATTTAAGAAATATTTATTCACAATGGCTTTTACTGACGCAACATGTAGTACCAATTTATCGCTGGTAAATTTTATTGTTATTCGATTTATTTCGAATTTAATATGGGAGTATTTGGTTTTTGGATTATCTGTTGAATTTAAAGTTATGTTGCAGTTTAAATCGAATTATTTATGTGTGGTTTATCGTATGATCAGTTGCATAATTTATTGCTCAAATCGTTTAGTTTATATTTTAAATTCTTCGGTTATTCTATTGTGTTTCTTTGTTTCCGATTTCATGGTCATTACTGAAGTTGGCAACATTTTCCGCCAAACTGTTACTTATTTTATCTTGATCTAAAAATAAAGAAATCGAGAATAAACCATTCTAAAAAAAGAAGTCATCATTAAAAAAAATTACGTGTCAAACGAATCCGCTCGACATTCTGTAACATTGAATATTTCGTTACTTCCTGAACTTACTAAATTTAGAAACACGTTCAATATTACATCGTCGTGGTTAATAAATTATAAAATTATTGAAAACACAAATTATCTTGCTAAATTAATCGCTTTTAAGCACGTCCATGAATTATGTACTTTGATTCAGTGCGTCACCACTAGTGTCAGAGTGTCACACAGAGATTTCGAAGATCACCATTGCAAATTTGCGCTTGTAGTTGGCATTTCGACTAAGTGATCAATTCCACATCACATATGACATTTGCGTTAAACCCAAACACATTTGCATAGCGCCTCCCAGTTGATCTCCCTCTAAACGAAGATTTACTTTTTCAACAACCGATTTTTAATCACGTTCAGTCTGGATTAAAAAAAAAAGTTGTAATTTGCTTCGTGTCTGTTGCAGACGACAACAAAAAGCCGAATTTTGATGCGTACATATTGATATACTAGCAAATCGGTGTAGTAGATAATGCAGATCTGTTTGTTCAGGACCCGTTTGAATAATGGACAAACACATCCTTGTCGGCACAAAGCACATAGAAAACGTCAAGATAAAAGCGAGAATCCCAAACAGAATTGCTTAATTGGAGTAACTCTTTAATGAATTTTTTAAAAGAAAGACGAGCCGTCACAACTGGAGAAGAAGGAAGAGCAAAAAGCGGACATAAAAGTTAATTGTTTTGTACAGTTCAACCAGATTATTAAATTAATGTGGAGATTAATTTTAAAAATTAAGCAATTTGTATGGACGTAAATCAAGTTAGCTCGTGAAATCTTGTTGCCGTGTTGGGATAAATAAAATTACGGTTTAGGGACGTTTTATTGAAATATTAATGAAGTGGAATGGGAATTTTGTGTGGTGTTAAACGTAATGACAGATTTTCTCTTCCATTTATTAAAGTTTCTGCGACTGAAAGGTGCTTAATTGAGTTAGGTCTGCGTTATTGGTGGGG